GTGGAAAGCGTCGAGGAGAAAAGGAAGTCTCTCTCTCTCTCTCCCTCTCTCTCTCTCTCTTTTCGCGTCTCTCTCCGACGCGCGGATCTCTATGGAGGAATAAGGCGAGAGTAAAATATTCCCGGGTCGCGCGTCATTCTCTCTCGCAATTTACCAATTATCGATACCTGATCCCATCCCATTCTATCCCGCTTGGTTTTACAACCCGGCGCGTGAGCATTTTAAAAAACGATCGCTCATCCCCGTCGGTCCTCGTCGATGCGGTGAGATTTTCCGCCGCCGCTCAACAATGTTAGACAATCCGCTCAATGGCGCGCAGATCATTCTTACGTGTACGATAAAAGTTGCTGAGAGAGTTCCTCCGATGATCAATCGCTGCTGATAAGTTGACCGAAGTTTCCGACTGGCGGACGATTGCACCGAAGAAGGGAGAGCAAGAGAGAAAGACAATCCCGGGGACGGGAATTCCACGGGGCGATATTCCCGCGAACGTCCCTCCAGCGCCCCTCGCACGTTGCTATCACGGGCAGCGTAAACAACCGCGAGAAGTCGCGGATTGCGAATCCTGCCAGCGAAACGGGGAACTTTCCTCGGCCCGTTACCGTCCGAGAGTGACGATGCTGTTCGGCTAGCTAGAGTTTACTCAAAGATGCAGGTGCGACGGCGTGATGTACGTGCTCATGCTCGCGTGACTGCGTGGATGAGAGCGTCTCGTGCATGCGCGTGCTGCTGCCGCTTTTCCGCCGTCGTCGTCGTCGTCGTCGTCGTCGTCATTCTTCGGCTAGGGAGGAGCGGGGGAGGAGCGCGCTCGCTCGTCTCCTCGGGACCAGGTCTCGGGATTACAAAATCAAATATTCCGTGGGAAAGCGCGAGCGACGCCGGCGACGCGCTCGAAAGTAGGGCGAAAGAGACCGGAGGAGGAGGAGGAGGAGGAGGAGGAGGGCGGAGGGACGAAAGGAGAGCTCGGACCGATGCGAGAGGCACCATCGGCGGCGCATTATTCCTCGAAATCACCGGCAAAATTATTCGATCGCTAAGAGCGCGACGATTGAAATATCGCGGAGAGGGTTCCCTCGATCGACTGAATTATGCGTCAAGTGGAAATGCTTTCGGAATTATAACACGACTGTGTGTATGTGTAGGACAGTCACACGTCGAGATACACGAAAGAGAGATTGGTTGAATCAAATGCGGCAGTGAAGGAAGTTCCTGCGAGCGAAATTCGATCGTAAGGCCCGGAAATTCTGTCGAAAGTTCCGTCGCGAGTTCGATTTTGGGGGCTGGAGATTGCACCCGAAAAATTGTATTCTATTTGTAAAGTGATCTTTACAAATAGGAAAAGGATTCTTCTTCCGATAAAGCGATTAAAGTGAACCATTCATCTAAAATTTATTAGATATTATACCAACTGTTTCCCTTTTATTTCAATTTCCTCCTGTATCAATTGATTTTTCTCTTATATGAAGAGGAACATGTTAATTTGAATGCCGGCGTCTTTTGTGACTTTCAGCCATGCTCTACCTGCAGACATGAACGAAAAAATAACCCTATGTCCACGGGTCAGAATATTTGAAACGCTTTTTAGAAAAAGTATATGTATCGTTGCAACATATAACGAAGATAATTTTAATTAACCCACATTTGGTCAAATACAGTTTATAGTCTATTGCAAGAAGTTGAACAATATATTCTTTCTTTTAACTATGTTTCACACAATTGGTTATGATGATTTTTGTAGCCATATAAACCATAACAAAACTGATTGGAAATTTGCTTGTTATGATGATCTTATTTCATTCATGCCTACTTATTACAGAACTGAAGTACACCTATATATTATTTTTCGCTATACATTATAATAATGTTTTTCAAATTAACTAATACAACCAGCAAGAATAAATTACAGTAAGAATAAATAATAATCGTCTTAAAAAAAGATTAAATAATCTGTGTGTAAGAGGATATTTATATTAAAATCAATAAAATTTGTATTATATATATATATATATATATAATATATAATCCCTCTAACTTTGAGAACAATATGTTTATAATATTTTCCTCTTAATCTTAGAGGAATCCTCTCTCGGGGCCATATATAAAAATAAAATCCCCCAAAATTTAGATGATTCCGCGCTTGTTCTAAAATTACTTTCTTTTTGGGTTTCTTATTCCGTTCGACCGAGCCAGAAGTAAAAAGCGAATCGGCATTTGTGAGCCAAATTCGCTTCCGAGGAATCCCGTCTCCTCTAGCCAGAACAGAGACAGAATGTTTGTTTTTTGTGCAGCAAAGTCGGCTCGAACTCGCGGCATTCGACTCGCTTCACCGTCGCGTCATTTTCCAGCAATCTCCTTTCTTCGTGCAACGACGCTTGACCGATCTATAAGCGCTATTCATAGTCAATCTTTGTACATGAGATCGTCTTAAGCCTAGGACGCTGTACAGGCCGTTTCATTGCCCACGAAGCGTCTGAATAGCGGCTTATGATCGTCAAACATTGGCCGAGAATCTGTCGCCCAATATATCGGGGCGTCTCTAGAGGTGAACGACCGCGCGGTCTGTCGGTCAGCTGACGCGGAGCGAGAGTGGGGGCAAGGCCGTTTCCCGTGACGTAACTTCGTTCGGGACGCCAGCTTGCCGCCAGCCGCGCACAATTCAGCGGGTGGCCGAATCCAATCGATCGAGAGCGCGGCGACTCGATGTGGGAAAGCTGAAACTTCCGATTTGACGCGCAATCGTTACTTCTTCGGAATAAGAGTTAATTGGCGAAACCGGATAATCGCGATAGAAAAACACCGCGAGCGAGTCGGCGTTGAATCTCGCTATGGAATCTATCGGCCGAAGTAACGACTATCAATAGTGGTTTGTTCCATTGGTTTACTCGGCCCGTTTCGGGGCAATTCATCGTCGCGGCCAATGAAGTTAATATTGTGCAATAAAAAAGAAAAAAACAGAAAAAGACAGAAGAGCCGTCGACTGTGCCGCGGTTATCGAGCAAAAGCCAAATCCAGGTTGGATCGATTGATACACACAGCCCGGAAATCGAGGCGCGATCGAACGAACGAACGGTGCGTGATAAAACCGAAATAATGTAAACGTTGAGCACGGCGAGACCCGTTCTTTCAATTAACTCGCGGGATTAAGGGCACTCGTGATCAGGAATATGAAATCAGGCAATCTGGGGCCGCGCGCGTCTCGTCCGTCTCGCGGCCCTCTCGCTCTACTACTACGGCGTCTCTAAACCCATGTCCTACGTTCATACGTACAGTGGTTCCCCTCCCTCCCGAGAGGGGAGCATGTTGCGTGTGACACGCTGGAAAAAAGCGGACTCTGTCCGCGAGAGACGGTTCAAGTACCAACGCCGTGTCCCATCTCGGAGATTTCTATTATTTTAGTCTCGAAAGGAGGAATATTTTGAAGGTTTCCACATATGGAACATATTCAATCATGTACATATATACTCCACGGCTTGAATATTTGAATTTAAAGACTGAAACAATAATAATAATAATATTCGAAATATGAGGCCTCGACATTTTCGCTATTGCTTTGGTATTTAGATACAAATATTTAAACCTTCAACGTAGAGCACGAGTACACATATATATTCAATATACATGTATTTATATACCACGCGGAAAATATAAATATTTGAATTTAAAAACCGAGACAAAAAAAAACAAGAATGTCCAGGGTCAAGTACGCGACCCAGCACTTTTATTACATCTCGGTCTTTAAATACGAATATTTAAACTTTCAATGTAGAAAATAAATCTATATATTTAATATATATATATATTCTGTGTGAAAAATGTAAATGTTGGAATTTAAAGACCGAGGCAATAGAATATGCAGAATTAAATACGCGATCCAGCGATTTTATTACGTTTCAGTCTTTAAATGCGTATATTTAAATTCTCATTACAGAAAATTAATCTGTATATTCAATATATATATATATTCTATAACAAAAGTATAAATATTAGAATTTAAAGACCGAGGCAACAGAATGACCAGGAGTTAAGTACGCGGCCCAGCACGTTTATTACGTTTCGGCTTTTAAATGCGAATATTTAAACTCTCGATATAGAAAATAAATGTATATTTAATGTATATATATTCTACAATAAAAGTGCAAATATTAGAATTTAAAGACCGAGGCAACAGAATGACCAGAGTTAAGTACGCCCAGCCCAGCACGTTTATTACGTTTCGGTTTTTAAATGCGAATATTTAAACTCTCGATATAGAAAATAAATGTATATTTAATGTATATATATTCTATATAATAAAAGTGCAAATATTAGAATTTAAAAGCCGAGGCAATAGAATGTCCAGAGTTAGAAGTACGCGGCACTTTTATTACGTTTCGGTCTTTAAATGCGAATATTTAAACTCTCGATATAGAAAATAAATGTACATATTCAATATATATATATATATATACATATATTCTGTAATAAAAGTGCAAATATTAGAATTTAAAGCTGCCGAGGCAACTGTAGAGCGTTACAAACGCGCGCGGCCCGGCATTGGCACCTTTCACCTTGCGCACAGAAGGAAGCATCGACCACGCGTCATGCTGCGCGCACAGGAGAGACATCCAGACAGCGACACTCGTGAAGAAGAGGCATGCGGTTATCACGTCCGTGGACATGAGTGCCCGAGTGTTGTTCCCTACCATGCAAAGCATGCACACACAAGGCAGTCCAGGGGACAGGGGGGGAAGGTGAAGGACGACGCACAGGACAACGGGTGGTGATCGGCGGCAGACGAAGGTGTCGGAGGAGACGCACACAGATCGGATGGGACTCCTTAGTTTCTTTGTCCTTTTTTTCTTTTTTTCAATTTGCTTCCGACTGCTGCGCAGTCGGATGCGATCGGGACGGATAACGGGATCGGTCGGACGGGTGAATGCGGATAAGTGGACGGACGGGTGAATGGTCGTACGGTTGCTCCGCTCGATGGTCGGCGGTCGGAGGACCTCGCTGAAGCTTACCCTCTTCCCTGGCTTTCCCCGAGCACCTTTCTCGCCGGTCATGCCGGGCGGTCCCGTCGGGCCCAGTTCTCCCTTCTCGCCCTGGGGCCCTGCGTGTCGATATAACCTGCATAAGATGAGAAGACACGACGGCCGCACGGCCGCGCTCGCTCGCTCGGGATCGCCGGTGTTTCCGATGACCCTCCTCGCGAGCGTGCCGACGGATCGCGTGATCGTTCCTCGCGGAAGAGCGTCGATGCGCGAGGTAGCAGGCCGAGAGCGATCCGTCGTCGAGCGCTCGACGTGACGGGGGGCGGCCGCCTCGCAGCGCTGCGATATGTAATCCCGGCGAGTCGAGTCCGACTTGAGTGGCGCGTCGCGTCGCGTCGCGTCGCGTCGAAATGATAATCGATCGGACGAATTAAACGGCCTCGCGAATTAATCCACGCGCGCTCCGCTGACTGACAGCTTAAATAAAGTGATGTATCTCACCCGCGAACGGGAACGATCAATGTCGCGCTATCGTGCTCGCACGCGGTAAGGGGAGAAGAGCGCGGCAGAGGGGGGGGGCGCGTCCTATATCTTGCGTAATATCTCCTACCTTCTGCCTTTCGATAATAGAATGACATTCGCGTCCTAACTATCCCGGAATACCGATATAACTTCGTGACGGCGGAAGTTTCAGCGCGGCCTGACAAGCGGATTTAATATTCACTTATCTCCCACCCTGATTCTCTCCGCCGCGATACTTCGATTTCGGGATTTATTTGGTACAACGGAAGACAATGCCGCGCTACGGAGAGGGCGAATGTCCCGTTCGACGAGAGTCACAGCCGCCACAAATCAGCTCCGCTGATCAGTTCGTAGCTAAGCATGTGTCCTTGCTTCAAATTTCATTTGTGAAATGTGTCGCGAGATCAATTACCCGTCAAATTCCGTTCGTTCTCAGCGACTTGAAATTTTATACACTTCCAGGTAAAACAAATTCCGACCTACTCGTTAAATCCGCCCGTTGGACCAGTTACTCCCCAACTTCTTCGAAACCCAACCGACGGCGTAAGGAGAAAGAGAGCTAAGCTCTGAACTGTCACGTCATCAAATACAGCGCTCGAGTAACTCTTGAGAAAATATGAATGGGTGAATCGGAATCCTCCACGAATTAGAAAAGTCTGACGATGAAAACGTCACAAAAGTGTTCAAGCGGGGCCGCGCCGCATTTAACCTCACACGTGGAATCATGAATTCCTCGATCGATCTTTACGATGAGACTACTCGCTCATTAATCGGCCACCGACCCGCGAGAGCCGTGAACGTTTCACCGCTCCTTTCCTTATTTTTCGACATTATTTCACCGCAAAACGGCCGGCGGAGCGGCAGCTTCCCGCGCGCGCGCGCGAGAGAGACGGAAATTTCAGAGACGAGTAACGCGCGTCCCGGCAGCAGAGTAAATACGCCATACAACGTGCGTCGCTAATTCCGAAATACCGTAGTGCAGTATCGACAGCGGCGCTCCAGCGCTCCGTCTACCGCCGTTCGTCCCGTGAAATTGCGAGGCGGATTTCAATGTGGGTAAATTAATTCTGTCAGGTGCGCATATATAATGGCCGCGCGCGCGTCCCTAGTCCCGCCGCCGTCGTCGCACAACGGTATAAAGACGGATTAGCGTTCACGTAATTTCGTTCCGTCGAATGCACCGCGGACGCAACAGCCGACGGAGTTCTCTCGTCTCGAATTATTTTCACGCGCGGTCTGAGAGACTCCAGTCATCCGGAGCTGACTCGCCGGAGGAGAAAGAAAAAGCGGACGAAAGTTCGTACGCGTAATCGTCGCCTTTTCGGACCTAACCTAGTCGACGGGAAATTTCATTCTGCGAATTTTCGCCGCGGAGCGCCCACAAGCGCCCACGAATAAAATAAACAAAAAAAAAAAAATGTGAAGCGCGTGTTAACGACACGTGTTTGCTGCTTCTCCTCGGAAATTCACTGCTGCCAAACTCCCGAAAACAGGCGACATCGCTCCGAGCGAAATCTTCCCGACGAATTATCCTTCACTCGTTTATTCCCGCAAGCTTCCTTACACGCTTCCGGACGGCTCTCGGAGCGCGAGGAATCTCATCATACGCGGACACGCTCCGCGCGTGAGCGCGTTCCTCTCCGGCGCTGACAAATCCCCCGGCCGGGGATTATAATCGCGAAGTTCCTACGGCGGATCAATCATGTCGCTGGAGAGCGAGAGGGAAAGAGAGAGAGAGAGAGAGAGAGAGAGAGAGAGAGGTAACTAATACCCGCGACGCTCTCGCCAATATCCGCGACACGTTACGGTCAACGCTCGGCCGAGCGCTCGGCGGCGGCGGCGGCGGCGTCGGATTCTGAATACGTCCGCGATCGTAAATCATCTCTCTTCTCGCCGGCGCTCCTCCGGCTGGCGGGCGCTCTGACGAACGGCCAGGTCGTGAGGAATCGGCGCGACGAGAGCCTCGGAATTCTTAAGCCGGCGTCGCCGTCGCCCGCGATGGCCCACCAACGCCGGCAGCACGAGGGATTATGCATTCGCCGTTTCTCTCGCTCCGTCTCGCGCGCGCGAGAAAACGGCACGTACAGACGCGGCGCCGTCGTTCTGTAACTTTCAGCGGGCCTGAATTTTTTACCCGCTTCGCGGGATTCGCGGGATTGCGTGTTGCGCGACGACTCCCCTCTCCTCTTGCCGTTGAATACCTACCGACGGCTTCGACGTTGATCGCGGGCTCTCTCGATATTTAACGTTAAGCAGCCCGCTAATGATACGTCAAACAGAGGCTCTCTCTCTCTCTCTCTTTCTTTTTCTCTTTCTCTCTTTCTTTCTTTCCGCCTCTTTCTCTCCGGGTTCAATCCGAGCGGAGAGATCAAACTTTCCCTCCACATTCACGTGGAACTCGATTTATCGACAGTCTTTCTCTTCCCCTCGCCCTTCTGGGAGCCCTCCCGGCGTGTCGGAACCATCGACTGTGCGCGACCTTGCGAAAGATTTCCCGCAGTTCTCCCCGGGCTTGAAAGGATCGCGAGACCCTCGCGGAGGGTGAATACGAGAAGGAACACGATAGTTCCGGGACAATACTCTCGATACGTTCCAGTCGCGTTCTCATATCACGTCCTCTAGCGACGCGAGAGAGCGTCTCTCTGCGAAAGCCCCCGTCCCTCCCTTCGATACTTCTCGTCATTCGTTTTCCCTTCGCGCTACGAGTGCCGCCGCCGCGCCGAGTATTTGCGCGCTCGTTTGCGAGACGGCTTCGGCACGTTTCCTCTGGCGGAGTTGTGAGCGATCGCTTATGATTGCGAATCGCTGCTCGCGAGCTCACGCTGCGACCGATCATCACGCAGAAAGACTCGGCTCGCGCCGATAGTTGATTGTCTATCAGCACTTCTGGTCACCGGACGAGAACTCGATTGTACGATCGCGGAGAGATTCCCGCGGGAGGTTCCCGCACGAAGAGAAAAATCTCTGACGAAGTATGAATGACACCGAAAGTTGAGGTTATCAGAACTCAGTCCAAACTGTCAAGATTTCTGGTTAACTTCGACATGGTTCTCGTGTCTTCAGTCGAAATTTCTGAAACGCTCGCGTCTCACCGGAAAACTCGTTCACTCAAGCAAACATTTTTTTTCGTGCACCCAGAAGAAAGTATTCTATTTGTGAAGTGATTTTTTCCATATTGTATACTCTCATTGTAAGCGAAGCGCCTCTCACAGAGAAAGGATTCCTCTTTCGATAAAGCGATTAAAGTGAACCATTCATTTAAAATTTATTAGATATTATTCTAACTACTTCTCCTCTTATTTCAAGAGGATCTCCTCTTGTATCGATTAATTTTTTCCTCTTATCTGAAGAGGAATGTGTTGATTTGAATGTCGGCTTCTTTTGCTCAGTCATGCTCCATTTCCAGACATGAACAAAAAATTACCATATGCTCATAGGTAAAAATAAATAATTGGAACGCTTTTTAAAAAAGATATGTGTTGCTGTAACATATAACGAAGATAATTTGCCCATATTTGGTCAAGTACAGTTTACAATCTATTGCAAGAAGTTGAATAATATATTCTTTCTTTTAACTACGTTTCATACAATTGGTTATGATGAACGTCTTTGCAGCTATGAAACCCATAACAAAATTAATTGGAAATTTATTTGTTATGACGATCTTGTTTTATTCATGCCTACTTATTGCAGAGCTGAAGTACATCTATATATATATTTATATATTACTTTTCGCTATACATTATAATAATTTTTTCAAATTAGCCAGTACAACTGGTAAGAATAAATAATAATTCTCTTAAGAAAAGATTAAATAAATCCGTGTACAAAAGGAAATTTATATTAAAATCAACAAGATTTGCATTATACGTATAACATATAATGCTTCTAATTTAAGAATAATGCGTCTATAATATTTTCCTCTTAATCTTAAAGGGATCTTTTTGAGGCCACGTATAAGAATAAAATCCTCTAACATTTAGATGATTCCGCTTATTCTAAAATTACTTTTTTCTGGGTGCATATATTCTATCGATATCTATCGATTATCGGACACCTCAACCGAGTTCTCGTCTGGTCTCGTCCATTTCTTCCCTTCCGGGAAACGGTTACGACAGCAGCCGAAGCGACGATATATGAGATATATTTATTATACTTCTGTCCAGGTTGAATGAAACCTTAATAAAGGCGCGACATTTACGTCACGCGTGGAGATAAAATTTGACCCGCGCAAGTGATTTCCTGCTGCCCGGGGATGAGCGGGGGACTCGGTCGCGAGAATAGAAAGATTCCTGTTGAGTCAAACGCTCCCGGTTATCACAACCGAGTGTTAACGCAGCCGCGCGATTCGGCGAATGTGTTTTCGCTCGCGCTGACAGAGATATCGCGTTCCTCGTCACCACGTTCTCGTGTTCGCTTCCCGTTCCGTCACGCGAAGCGAGATTTTGTTCCACGTCACTTTGGTTCTCGTCTCATAACCGATCACCGCGCGATCACCGTGAGCGCCTCGGAGGGCGTCACGATCGCGACGCGCTCCTGATTTCATCGGGAAAAAGGAGAAAAAAATATATATACTCGAACCGTTTCTCCCGCAAACGAGGCTACGTCGGCTCCCAAAAAAGCCCGGGCACTTTTCCCCGCGCAGTTCGAAACGCGGCGAATGTCTAATGAGGGGACTTTTAATCCCCGTAGCTTTCTCAGAGACGAGCTTTTCCCTCGCTCTCGGACCGCTGCGTTTCGGAAAAAGGAAGAGTGCTCGAGCCGTTTTGAAACTCGCCGCAACTTCGGCCAATACCTCGCAAGCTACACCCCGCGTCGGGCCGTTAACGAACGAACGCCTGGAGGAAGAAACGGCCGGACAACGTTAATCGAGGGTACTCGACTCGACGTCCGATCGCTGCGCGGGAGGAATGACGGCCTGCGTCATTAAAAAAAAAAAAAAAAGAAAAAAAGATAAAGGATCGCACGAACGCGAAAGGCGCATACATTACGCATACTTCACGCGTGCGTTTGCCCGCCCCTCGCGAACGCCTCGGCGGCCCTCTGAGGAACTGCACGATCATTCACCGTCGAGATTTCCCCGTCAAGCGTTTCCGCATTTTCTTCGCTCGCGGTCACGCCTCGACTCGCGACGGCTGAGCGCCACCTCGCCTTCCGGTTCGCGATTAATCGCGGATCTCACAACGTTAATTATCCCCTCGATGACGTGTTCCGGTGACGCGCGTCGCTCCGAGAACGCTCGTCGCCTCGTAATTATGTAGAAAGTTTATGGAGAACGTTTACAAAGAAACATCTGAGCGAGCTGCCGCGCTGGCCTCGCCCGGCGCTCTCCGGTGGTCTTTCCAGGATCTGTTATCGTAATATTATATATAGGGTGTCCTGAAAGCGTTCGGTCAAACGACAACATTGCATTCTAAGAGTGACAACGAAGAAAGCAAGTTTGATAAACACGGATCCGAAAATCATCCACATTAATGAGCTGCATTAATTAAAAAACCGAGCATCAGACTCACATAAAGTTGAGAGAACTGATCAAAGTGGCTACACACACACACAGAGAGAGAGAGAGAGAGAGAGAGAGAGAGAGAGAGAGAGAGAGAGAGAGAGAAAGAGAGGGAAAATAAATGTGATCAAACGGAAGGATTTTCTGGTGAAATATAAACGACTCGGAAATTCCGGTTGGAGTTGTCCAGAATTCAGCCTAAACCTAAATCGAGATTTCTCGTGAACTTAATCGGGACTTCTGAATCCTTGGAAGATCGATAAGACCGACAGCTGCTCGGCGAAGGGAAGGTAATGTCAAACACCTTGACAAACTGATGCAACTCGTTAATGGCGGCTTTTTCGGAACTGCGTTTAAAGTGAAGCTTTCCTGTTTGTTTCCGCCTCTAAAATACGATGTTAACGTCCGCGGCACGTGAATATTTCTGGAACACCCTGAACACGATAGATCCAACGATCCACGGCGAGGCGAGAGATCCAGGTGTCTTTCGCAGGCCGTTCGTGAACTGAAATGTACATCGCGAGAACGGCGTACTTAGATGGACAAAAAATGTGAACTCAAAGAAGAACGGCACCGAGTTCGGAGTGGCAGCAGCGGAGAACAGCTCGTCCTCGATGTACATTTCGTGTAAAATTGTGAAACTTTGAAGCGACATGTCCCAGAAACTGCACGCAACCCCGCGTGGCTGCGAGGATTACTCGGGGGACTTGCAACCCTTGCGACGTGTATTAGAACCCGAGACGTTCGATGTTTTTCAGTTCTCGTAATTACTCGTTTACCTCGAAAAGAAGACGGCGCGACGGGAAATCGCAACGGGCCCGATCGCGGCGAGCCGGGAAAAGCCGTCTTGGGCGACGGCGAGCGCGGGGGTTCGATTTTGCGAGTCGCGAGATAAAGAGACAAACTGTCGCTAACGCGCGCACAACAAAAAGAAAAACAGAAGAAAACCAGGAGAAAAGAAACCGGAGATCGGGCGAAATCAAGCGCGACGAATCGCGAAATTAAACGACGCCGGGGCTTCTTACGATTTTTCCGCTCGACGTCGAGGCGATCACAAATACTCTACTCGACTCCCGAGAGTGAAATGTTGACACTACAAATAACTCGCATGAAATATTCATAAAGTGTTACGCCGCTGTGTGTCGCCGCTTTCATACTCCCCACGAGAGTGCAATTGGCGTGTAACGTTTAATCACTTATCTCGTATGCAGATTATCTCGTTTGTATGCTTACCAGGTGGTCCAGGTGGACCAGGCGGGCCTTCGAATACACCGCTCGGGAACTGCTCGCCCTTCAAGGTCGTCGTGAAGCCCCGATCGCCCTTATCACCCTTGTCACCCTGTCGGCAGGAAGCGTTCGATCAATTCGAGCACCAAGGTATTTATGTAGCCTCTCGTTACACCCCCTTCGTTCTCGAGCGCGTACTTTGCGTGGCGCAGCTAACCCCTTGACTGGCGGAAACGCGACACCGCGTGCAGAGAGAAATGTCTGTTTCGGAAGATTTTCCAATTGAAGATGCCAGAATTCCGCTTAAGTCGAGCTGAAATTTTTGCAACTCGGACTGATAACTTCAACCGGAATTTCGGTATTTTTCCCTCTCATCTCGTCCGAAAAAATTGTTCCCTCCGACTGAATATTTTTCCTCACGTGCGTTTACCAAAAGCGACGGGAACGCAATATTGTGTTTTTGATATTTCTGGTAGTTGAATATTTCTAAAATTGGAGACTTCAAGTCTTGTGAAAGTCATTCTATGGTATGAGCTTTAATATTTAAAACTCAATATGGCAAACTGATATATGGCCGTTTGAAGACGGAAAAAATGTAAATGTTTTATAAAAGTGATGGACTTTAAAAATAAGAATTCAAAGTGACAAGTTTTCAAATCCAGATACAAATATTATCTGCGTATTATATCGGGTCTGGTGTTGGGTCCTATGCATAATTCCGTAGCGAAAATCGAATAAATTTCAAACGCAAAATATCTAGCGGAGAAAGCGATTTCAATCGACTAGATATGTTCCATTCTGTTCAATGACTTTCTGCCATCTCTCCACGAGCTCTTCATTATCCCTCTATCACAGAAGTCCTGAGATCTTTGGGCAAAAAAAGTCATCCAAGTGGTTTTCGAGGACGTCCAGGGAACTGAAGGTTTTATTGTTCAAATTGTTCTGTAGCGCCCGGAACAAGTGATAGTCTGAAGGTGCAAGTTCCGGACTATACGGTGGGTGCACCAAAACATCCCACCCAAGCCGCGATAACTACTTTTGCCGGGTCATCAGAGAAACATGTGGTCTAGCGTTGTCCTGATGGAACACAACGCCCTTTCTGTTCGCCAATTCGGGCCGCTTCTGATCGATTGCTCGCTTTAATTTGGCCAGTTGTGAGCAGTATTTGGTCGAATCAATCGTTTTGTTGGGTGGCAGCAGCTCATAATAGACGATTCCTCTCCAATCCCACCACATACAGAGCGTGACCTTCTTTGGGTGTAATTCAGCCTTTGCGACCGTCTGAGCAGCGTCCTCGCGCTTCGACCATGATCTTTCTCGACTGACATTGTTGTAGACAACCCACTTTTCATCGCCAGTGATCATCCGCTTGAAAAATGGTTCGTTTTGATGGCATTTGAGCAGCAAATCGCAAGCTGAAATTCGGTCCATTGAATTGTTTTCGCTCAGTTCGTGCGGCATCCAAACATCAAGCTTGTTTACCCAAGCTTCCGTAAATGTCCCGAAACAGTTGATTGGTCAATGTTGAGGTTATGTCCGATCTCTGTAGTCGTCAAATGCCGATCGAAGTCGATTAAAGCGTTGATTTGATCGACAACAGTGGTGACTGGCCGACCAGAGTGAGGAGCATCTTGAAGATCAAAATCTCCGCAACGAAATTTCGCAAACCACTTCCGACGTACACTTTCGCTTACGCCATTCTCTCCGTACACGGCGCATATCTTTTTGTGGATTTGCGATGCGTTTTTGCCTTTTCGGAAACAAAAAAGCGAAATGCACCGTTTCTTCCTTCCATGTTCAAAATATAATTAAACGTCGTATACGTCACGGATCTCGATGACTACTCTCTTAAAATGTCGGCACAAATTTCAGCTTGCACTTAATGTACGACACTTCATTTATGTTTGACACGTGTGCGAGCGGAAAAACAACTGCGAACGACATCTGTCGGAATTTCGCTACGGAATTATGCATAGACCCAATAGTTAATTCCTTCCGATTCGCGGCAATTTTCAATTTTTATTTAAAAATCAATAGAACAAGATTAATCGATGAAATATTCTCCGTTGTTATCGATGATCTTACGGCATTTATTGGGCAGTTGCCGAATCCCATCACGATAGAAATTTCCTATGTCGGAAAATGTGCATCAGACAATGCGAGTTGCATCGACCGAAACAAGTGGAAAGCTGATAGAGCCAAGTCTGGAGAATACGCCGTGTGTGGTAGAACTTCCCAGTCCAAGTATAAGATGAGTTCCTTTGTAGCTTCTGTTGTACGCGGTTTAGCATTGTCGCGCAACAGGATGACTCACGGTTGCCTTGTTCAGTAAATGGCCTTTTTTCTCAATTGCATCATTACTTGCTCTTGCTAAATCTCTGCTTTAATGGTTTTACCCGGTTCCAAGAGCTCATAATACGGCACACCCTTCTGGTCCCACCACGTGCAGAGAACTATCTTGCCGAAACGTTTGGGTTTCGCTGTCGACGTTGTCGGTCGACCAGGGTCTACCCATGACTTTTTGCGTTTAGGATTTTCATACATAATCCATTTTTCGTCACCAGTTATGATTTTATGCAAAAAAAAAATCTTTTTTGTTGTCTGGCGAGCAAGGTAACATATGTGGTCAATCGGCGATTTGTGTCGTCAATGGTTAGCGTGTGGAACCCACTGCCCTTTTTTCATCTTTCTCATATGATGTGAAACGGTCGCAAATAGCTTTCTGACTTACTCCCAGCTTCGTCGCAAGTTCTTGTGTTTGTGCCGTATTTTTACTCAGTAGATTGTACAGCTCCTCGTCTTCGAATTTTTTTTCGCTGACCGCGGCGTGGTTGGTCGTGAAGATCGAAATCACCATTTCGAAAATGTTCAAACAATTTCGGCACGTGCGATCGGTCACAACGTTTTCACAATAAACAGCACAAATCATTTTGGCTGCCTCAGAAGCGTTTTTGCTTACATGAAATGCGAGATGCATCGCGTATCAAACATGCTCTTTGTTGACAGCCGCACATCGTGAACACTACTGATAATTTGAAATTATGATATCAATTTCATCGGATAACAATCACAATACGTAGTAGGCTGAACTATTAGACCTAATATAAATCGTAATCATTAAAAATTACATTTATTCGTGATTTCGATATTTTGTTACTTTTTATAAATTTCGAAAAGAAAAATTCATACATTTTCATTATGAAACTTTTTCCGCAACAGACGTTCACTTTTATCTTAACGAAAAATATAATCTTTGTCCCGCCATATTGGATGTATAGCATTCTGAATCTGAAAAACCCTCATGCTCGCAAACGATGACTTCAAAAACTCGCGGACACAAAATTCTAGCATTTTTTTCCAAGCACTTTTGCGAGATTCAGCCGGCCAGTCAAGAGGCCAACGGTCTACCTCGCGGAAATCAAACCGCGTCCCTTTCCTCTCGGCAAGGACGATCGTGCCCGACGCGCAGGACGATTCGATCGAGGAAGGAACACTCTCGCGCGAACAAAGAACTCGCGCGTCGTCGTGGCATCAGCAAACGCCAGGTAATTAATATGCAGCGGGACGTGCTTTCGAATGTAATTAATTGTCGTTAGATTAAATTGACAATGAGCCGGACGTAATTAATAGCCTATTGTTCCGTAATCGCTCCGTCGTAGTCCGCTATTAATTGACGGTTACGTAACCTTTACCGGAAGGTGCGACGCGTTGAGCGTATACGATCAAACATTCGAGCAACGTCGTGTCGCGCTCGATCGCGTCCGCCATTCTTCTTCCCTTCTCGGAAAGCAAACGCGGTATCGCGAAAGGTCGCGAAACACTCGCGCGCGATTAGTTGCGAAAAGTCGTTGAGAGCGCCGTTAAAATTTGCCGTTGAAAATCCAAAACCCCCCCAGCGGGGATGATTAGCCGTATCTGTTGCAAACCGCGCGCTTGAAAGCGCGCGCGCGGTTCATAATCATTACGTAATTTCGCATAACACGGTTACCTCTCTCGCGATATACCGTAATATTAAATCACTCCCCGCGGAACTCGAGCAGGCCATCGAACGTTTGATATTTCCAAATACAAGCGGACGAGCAACAACAACGTTACGTGAAAACGCGTTCTATAATCCCGATCGCGCGCGCCCGCGAGTGAATAAAGTCGAGTATAAATCTGCGCTTTGTCGAGCGAGTCCTTCGCGCTTGAGCCTCCGCGTAAGAATCACGTACACTTGAGAACGAGACTCATTGGAACAACGAGAACGAGATGCATTAAGTTCCGCGTGGTATTCTGCACGAGCCCGGCTATTTCGAGCAAACGCTATTTCGGAGGGAAAGATGTATACAGGGTGTCTGACGATTCAAGGATCATTTTGCAAATCTCGCAGGAAACTAATTTTATTATATTTATTAGGAAACTAATTAAGTAATACAAGCGAATAAGCGCGCGAGAGGTGGGGGGGGGGAGATTCTGCAGGCGTGTCTGGAGGAAAGATAGCTTCCAGCCTGTGAAAAGGACGTCTTACTTTTTAGGAACCTCTAGTGGGTATCAAGCTGATAACGAAGCTGGGACGAAGTAACGTAACGAGCGGCGAGCGGCGTCTGGCGCTTTTTGGTCGCTCCTGGCCTTTTTAGCCGCGAGCCGAAAAAAAAGCGCGCCTCTCGCTATCAGCCGACGCCCATCGTTCCTGGGAGATCCTGAGAGAGATAAAACGTCCCTCGTACAAGTTGGAAGACACTTTTCTCCGTCTGTAAAGTCCGCCTTCTATCGCTTCCCGCTATACGCGCTCATTCGCTCATACTGTACAATTAATTTCTTGATTGACCGAGGTGAACGTCCCAATTAGCGACCGAGTGACTTGATCGTGAAAGTGAATTAACAGATTAATGATATATACGTGTTAAATTAAATACGCAAAGTCGATTCCGTTAGGAAGCTTCAACAGTCGGGCTTTTAATTGCGTTTGAATAAAATCATTATTAAAATTACGCTTGTAAAATGACTCGTAAAAATGTGAAATTCATGAAATTATATTTTTCCAATTTGCGGCAAAATTTTAATATACATGTTTGCAATATTTCCTCTTCAGAAATGATCAAAGTGCCATTCGCTGACATGAGTTTAGTTCTTTATTGACAATTTTGCTTGGAAGAAGTTGAAGGAAAACTACACAGACGTAGCAGATATGTAAACGTCTGATTAATTAGCAACTTCCAAGATGTCGAAACTGTTTGAGCTGTCGCCGTCAGGCGATACACTTGTAACGATGAAGTTTCAGCAATTACTGCGGTCTCTAATTTAATTCGAAGCTTGTTAAAACCGAATATTTAAAATTTGGAATAAAAACACACGTTGGAGATAAATACGCATTGATTTATCGAGAAAAAAACGGGTGTAACTGTCGCAAATCGAAGTGCCGTCACTCTAGTCCCATTTTGTTGCGAAATTTGCAATACGGCAGATGGAGAAAATATTACAGTGAAAATGACACAAAAGTTGTATTCCTTTTCACAAGAGAGCCTTTCGTCAAACTGGACTATCCGATTTTCTATCATGTGTTACTATAGAAGTAATAAATAATAAAAAGAAAAAAGAAAGAAAAATTCAACAGGTTATAATATCGTGTGCGCAAGTACTATATTTCTAAACAAACACGTAATAATTTCGATCACATTTCCGCACGGTCCAAGAGCTTAAAAGTTTTTGTTGCAATTTTCACTACAATCATTTCTCCTCCGTGTGCGCGACTTTCCCGTTCAGTTCGAGCCTGCACACAGAGGATGCCTGTCAGAGGATGTCGGATATTTTCAGACACCCTGTACATAAATACATAAATATCAGTCCTCGCGATAGCAGACCTGTCAAAATACCAAGAGGACGGCTACCCGCGGGAGGAGGCGGGGGGCGTCGAGGCGAGCTCGACTTTTCGGATCGAAGAAGACGAGCGCAACACCCGACACCCCGGCCTGTCCGAAAGACGACGACGACGACGACGACGGCGCGTCACGTAACCGGATACAGCGTGATCGTGCGAATTAATCTCTCTCACTCACCCTCGGACCCGGAAGTCCTGGCGTTCCCGGCGGGCCGACGGGTCCGTTCGGCCCGGGTGCGCCCTTCTCCCCCGGCGCGCCGACTTCGCCTGGAATCCCTTGTCTGCCCTCATGCCCGGGGAGACCCTCGGCTCCTGGCGGGCCGGGTGGTCCCGGCGGTCCGGGTTCTCCCGGTTCTCCCTATTACGTCCCAAGAGCGTTACGTCGTTACGGCTTTTCTCTCCGGCGAGAGCCCTCGACACAAGAGTGTCTCTCGGTACTCGTCGGTTTGTGCCACGGACTGACGGGATCGACGGGGGGAGAGAGAGAAAGAGAGAGAGAGAGAGAGAGAGAGAGAGAGAGAGAGAGAGAGAAAGAGAGAGAGAGAGAGTGTGTGTGTGTGTGAGGTGGAGGACAAGGCAGAAGAGCCGTACACGTGGCACGGTCTCTGGTGAGCGTGTGAGGGCGGACCAGCAGCAAAAAGAAGTAGATAGGAGCGTGAGAACGAAAGATAGATAGATAGATAGATCTAGGCGGAACAGAGATAGAGATAGGCAGACAAAGTTATAAAGAGAAAGTGAGAGAAAGAGAAAGAAAGAGCTAAGAAAGGTCTGTGGACTGGCGGACGCGGGGGGAAGGAGAACCCGCGAGAAAATAGTGCATGGAAACGAGAGACCGCGGCGTGCACGAGCGTACGAGGGCGGGGGGGGGTTGCTTAGCCGCGAATTTATGGCGTCGTGAATGAGGGGGCGTAAAGGACCAACCGCGAGGACCACGGCGAGGACCTTCCGTTATCGTTACCATCAGGCAGCGGAAGCTGCAACACCGGCGATACCACCAGGTCCCGGCGAAGAGTTTCGTCCTTTTCTCTCTTTCTCTCTCTCTCCCTCCCCTCCCCTCTCTCTCTCTCTCTCTCTCTTTCTCTCTCTCGGTGGCAAAAGAGAATTTTACATTAGCTTCACTGCGGGAGGACGTCTGGACGTCGAGATAATGGGATTTCGTGGGAGAACACCTGCGTAATAATCTTCGGGATCGTTTCGTCGCGTTTATAAAGAGAATGAAGGACAGAGAGAGAGAGAGAGAGAGAGAGAGAGAGAGAGAGAGAGAGATTCTTTCCTACGCGCCCATTCGACGTAATGTACGAAACTTTCCGACCTGCTCGCGAAGTCGTTAAAGGACATTATCCTCGTTGTCGGGTGTGGAGATAAAACTCGCGATAAAGTGGAAGCCATAGGACAATCTCGAAGACATTTTCCGCGGGCGAGATTTATCCGCGCACCTTCTTCGCGGTTACCGACAAGTTAATTGCTCGCGTCGCCGTCGCTCGCGGCGAGGCGATGAAATTCCGGCGTGATCGGTCAAAAATCGGGATTTTATCGTTCATTTATCGCTCAGAGGGTCTCCGCGTCCTCCCGAAGCTCCCTCGGCGCGGAACTCTTGATTGATGACGTCAGAAGCGAGAAAACGCACGTCGAAGATCCTTGCGTGACGTTTCCGAACAGAAAGATACTCTCGAGGGACTTGAAAAATGCGCCGAACGCTACGCTTCTCCCTTGACAGTCAATCAAATCGTAAAATGACTGGAATATGAGGTTAGTCGTACGGAATGATGGCGCATGCGCATGACCAGGTTTCATATTACAGTCGCTTGGTGGTTGTTGACCGACCATCGAGGGAGAAGCATAGCGTTCGGAGCATTTTGCAGGTTTAACTCCCGCAGTCTCGTACAAATATCTTTCTATTTGGACGTGAAGAGACACGCCAGAATTTCCAGCGTGTCTTTTCTCGCCTCTGACGTCACTGTCCAATATGGCCGCGGCCAGTACCCAGGAGCCTCGATAATTACGCACGGGTAAACGACTCTCTCTCTCTCTCTCTCTCTCTCTCTCTCTTTTACTCACAGCATGCGGCAAATCAGCTTTTTCTTAATATACGAGGCGGAGCGCGGCTGGCGCGCCACGCGGTCAGACGCTAATTAGCCCCTTCATCGAGTGAATTTGCGGGGACGCGAATATGGTCCGTCGCTATTGAAACATTTTCCGGTGGCGCGACGACGACGGCAGGTGGCCTCTGCCCCGCGTGTGGACGGCCGAGCAATTAATTTCTATCACGGCCGAGGAACATCAGCGAGCAACCCAGCCCCGTTTGCGCACGAACACGCGCGCCGGACAGGACAGGACAGATAGACAGACAGACAGACAGACAGACAGACAGACAGACAAACAGACAGACAGACAGACAGACGGGCGGAGCACGTGCCTATACGCTACGGCTGACGAGAGACAACGCGAAAGACGACAGGTGTGCGATAATAACGCGTCGCGCGACTCGTACACACGTCGAGTGCGCGTACACGCCGGGCGCTGCGTGAATCGCGGACGCGTCCCGCGCCCCGCCGGCGGCGCCCCCCGGCGGAGCCGCAAATAACGACGGATCGCCGTGCGATTCTCCGCGACGCGCGTGCACGCACACACATACGCACGCGACGACACACGTACACGCGCATGCATTCATTCTCTCCCCCCTCTCTCTCTCTCTCTCTCTCTCTCTCTCTCTCACTCGCTAGCAAAAATGCACGAGCAACGCGCGGTTTACGACGCAGCATGCACGCAGGCACGCACGCATACACACACATACACACACACACGCACGCACGCAACGAGGACGCAGGTGGCCCTCGAATGAAAACTCAAGCGGAATAGCTCGCCGAGACGCGTTTCCGGAGATATACGGTACGCTACGGTATATGACCGGCCACATTTGCGCGCGAGGAGACGCGATATACGCGCGTATCAAGGTGGAGGAAGAGGAATGAATGAGGAGGGGAGGGAGGATCGCGAGAGACGGAATAACCGGGTACAGCGTGTTTTTCGACTCTCACTGTCGGCGTCGAGTCGACGGCCAGCGATCAGGGCTCGATTGCACCGGGAGTCGCGATTAAACGCGCCGGGAACTGTCGTTCGTCGCGACGAGTAAATTTACCCTCCCTCCCCCCCCCCCGAGTTTGTTCCACGGCCGAGCATTCTTGGTCGAGGCATCCAATGCTCGCGTCCCGCTTGACCTCGCCTCGAGGTTCTCGTTAGCGTGCGATATTAACGTCTCCGAATGACGGTGTCTTGGGAGTCCTTACCGTGGTATTGTTCATACCGTGTTTGCAGGCTTGTCACTTGTCTTTTTTTTACGTATTGGTTTTTCATCTCCTTGTTAACGTATCTGTGATCGGATGATATCGCGGCAAAAGCGGGATTTAGAATAACCGCGCTTTAACCCATTAATGCCGGCTGGGACAGAAATTTCGCGTTGATTTCAATGTTATGAATTTTTATGAAAATGCTCGAAAATTTTAATCCAAAATACATTACTAGGGGCTTCCGAGGTAGCTTTTTTCGAATCCGCTGCGAGAATCATAAAAACATGGGTGTTTCTATTGATTTGTAACGGTTCTTTTTCCAAAAAGTGCGATTTTTTATCGTTAATTTTTTTCTAAATCATGGACTTCATCTTGATAAAAGTGTTGAATATTACTGAAAAGTACTCCAATCGTGTCCTCGAGACTTGTACTTAAAATATATATGTGGTTCTGAAATATTTACAATTTAGTAATTTCAATATGGCGACCATATGCATGTATCATGACAGATATCGCCGGATCCTTGAGAACTCGGTTGAATAACTCATTATGAGTATATTTTTATAAAAAATTATCCAAAATAAAAGTTGTCCTGTTGATCGAGTTCTTTCACGTGGTGGGCCCCACATTTGGGTCCGATGTACTTTTTGGGCCTAACGGGGCCCAACGTTGATTTTTTGGTGCAAAACTTATATTTTTTATTACAGATTTGAAAAGTACAGAAAATGTTACGTCCAGATATGTATTTTTGAAATTATCAACATTTTATCAAGATGAAATACATGATTTAAAAAAAAATTGACGAGAAAAAATCGCATTTTTTAGAAAAAAAACCGTTACAAATCAATACACTCAATACAACAAACACTCATTTCTTTATGATTCCCGCAGCGGGTTCAGAAAGAGCGACCTCGAAAACCTCCAGTGATATACTTTGGATTAAAATTTTCGAGCATTTTCATAAAAATTCATAACATTGAAATCAACGCGACATTTCTGTCCCAGCCGGCATTAATGATTTAACGTGTTGTCTAGAGAGAATTTTTGTGCACGAGATGGTAGCGAACGCTTGAGAGAAAATTCACTCGCAAAGGACTAAGATCTTAATTTCGATGAAATTATTGGTGATTAGTTCGACCGGGACGTCCGCACATGTGGCTGAGTTGAACAAACATCCTCGGAGAGAAAGGACTTCGCAACGCGAGGTACGAGAATATCTCTTTTGCTGGTTATTCCACAAAGATATTTAGATATAACGAGAGTTTCTCTCTCTCTCTCTCTCTCTCTCTCTCTCTCTCTCTCTCTCTCTATCTCTCTCTCTCTCTCTCTCTCTCTCTCTCTCTCTCTCTCTCTCCCCCACAACGTAATTAAGTGCGGTTAGCGTCTCATTATCGACTCTTCGATCGTAATTCTAGCTATAATGCGGATAGAGAAAGGAAATTTACCTCATTACGGTTAACCCGCCTCGGTGCTCGGGGGACCACGCTATCGTAATTCACGGCTGCTCATTACTTGGCGCTACCCTTATGCATTATAGGTCTGCCACTGTGGCAGACACACGTGTATTTTCATGTTAACATAACGCCGGCGTTTAACGCTTCATGTTACGCGCGCGCGACGCGCGTGTCGTCCCGCAAACGGGATTGCCGGCGCATGCGGTCTCATTATATTCGCGACCGAGCGAGAGAAATATTGGATACAAACACACACACACATATATATATAAACTTTATCATATATATTACTTATAAATATATAAATATATATAATAAAATATATATTTTGTAACAAAAATATATAAAGTTTACACATATCCAATGAAAACAGAACTTTCTGTGCACGACACATTCTCCGAAAATTCGGAAACGAAGACGCGAAGGTAAGAAGCCCGAGGGGGGTGGAGGGGCAAAGTAACAATTCGCTACCACGAACAGCGTGGTATCGGCGCGAAAATCGACTTGGGTGCAAAACAGCCCCGACGCGTTCTCCCTCGCGAGGATTCACGGCGATCTTTCGGATCCGCGTCTCCGACATGATTCGACGCGGGAGTCGCCATCGCGCCATCACGGCGCGGCTATTCCGGGTTTCGACGGCCAGGCCGGGCCGGGCCGGGCCGGACCGGCCGGTCACTCATTCATTCTTGACAACTACATCAATACACCATTATCGTGCGATCATGCGACTGCGATACGACCACAGGCTTGCGAGTCTACGGATAGACACACATCTATGCACATCAATCGCCCGCGCATTCACCCGGCGGGTACACACACACGCACACACACATACGCACGCACACACACACACACACACGCGCGCGCGCGCACACCCACGTGCAGGTACATACATCGCACTAATGCCACAGAAACAGGATAGATTGCAGATGGTCAAAGTAGTGTCATGCAACGCACGCGCCGCTTTGGGAGCACGTGCGATTTCGCATCGGCATGCGGAACGGGTGCGAGGACTAGGGGCCAGGAGGAGGGCGAGGGGGAGGCGGCGGGGTCGTGCATTTTTTACTCGCGCCTTATGTGCGGGGCATCGATGCCGCCGCTGCATTTTTTTCCCCTCGTTCCCGCCGGGATCTTTTCGCGGCTACGCGACCGCGTAATCCGCGCCTCCCCTCTCTTTCCCTCTTTCTCTCTCTCTCTCTCTCTCTCCCCCTTTCTCCCTCTTTATTTTTATCTTCCTCTCCCTCTCTCCATCTTCCTCTTGGTAGGTTCGCGAATTCTGTATTCCTCCGTCGTGTGAGTTTTATTTAACATTGACACCTCTCGTATACACGCGCGCCGCGATGAATGCAAAATGTCGGCGCGGCGAAGAACTCGATCGAGGAAGATATAATTTCGAGCTCGGCTTGCTCGTAATATTGCGCGCGAAAACACGCGGCAATTTTCGAGTTTGCCTTGGTCGCGACGCTGAAGGCGCTTCTGGAAGATTCTCGTCGACAGACGGCGTGGTTCGGCCGGGAGCACGCGCGGATAAGAAATAACGCACGCGATAAAACCTGAGCGAAATTGACCAATCGTAGTCGTTTTGTATTCTCCTTACGTTCCGACGATAATTGACTGTGACTGATCAATTTCCTCTCTACACGCGACCAATTCTCCCGGAAGGCTCGGAGGGAAGAGAATTCTCTCCGGATCTGAGACAAATCGAATTCGAAAAGTCGGAAAATCCGTTTCTACAAGCTGAGACGCGTTTCTTCGGAATTCGTTCATTGTAAGTGCTTCGGAACATTTGAAGGCGGTGAGTGACGATAACTTTCCACGTACACGATACGAGATGACCTTCTGACGAAAATGTTTTACATACGACGCGAATCGTCACGTCATCGAGTTAAAAAAAGTATCCGAACACGCCGCCAATCAATTTTAATCGTCGTGACACACAAATTTATATTTCTCAGTGTGAAAGTAAGCCGGCATTGCGCGATACAGCACGGTGCAATTATTTAATAAAAAAAAGAATATATATACGTATATATACAGGGTGAGTGATTTTCACTTTTCAAATATCTGTGAAACTTGTAGCATGTGCTAAATTGAAAAATGGTTCCTACAAAAGTTGTTTATCTTTTCTACGAGGAATAACAATATAAAATAAAAAATGTAGGTTTCCATTAAAAAAAAAATTAGATCGACCTCCAAATGATCTTGAAGACGTCCTCCGAATAAAACAAAAATCATGCAATTTGCTTTCCCCCTAAAGTCGCGGTCAACTCTTACTTAAAACATTTCTTTCTCCAACGCTTCGTTTCCGAGATATTTCGCATTGTCAACTCAAATGGTCCACCCTGTATATATAATGCGTGTAATTGCTCGATAAAAATCCCCCGCATCTCTCGCTACAAGTTTCCCTACGTGCTCTCGGCCCGAGAGAGCGCCGGCAAGTTCGCGGCGTTGAAATTCGCGAGGCACTCGAACCCGGAAATTCTTCCATCGGCGTCTCCGAGGACGCGCCCTCGCCGGATCCAATAAGGCGAGACGCCCTTTGAACAACGAGACGACGATGACGATCTCATACGTACTCTTTGAAATCCGAACGCGGCGCGCGCCGCGACGAGTCAAAGCGGCGAGCGGATGTACGAAACGACGACGACGACGACGGAGGAACCGGTTCCATCTTGCTAAAAGAATATAGGATATCGTGCGTCTCCGGCGCGGCACTCCTCGGCACTCCTCGTGCAGACCCGGTATCTTCCGAAGAATACGAATTCGACACCAGGTCGAGGAGCCGCTGCTGCAGCCGAAGGCGCGCCTTTTTGTGTGTTTGCCTTTCGCGAGGATTTGCATTCGCGTATTCGCGACAAGCGGATACGGCAACGACCTTCTCCCCCTCGCCCCCACCCCTCTGCCCCTCTCTCGGTGTCGGGGAGACAATCATTGCCGCTGATAGTTATACGAGGCGCGTGGGTAACCGCGCGGCACGACCCCGAGAGGAGGCGAGAGGAAGAGAGGGGAGGGGGAGAGAAAAACAGAGACGGGAAGGAAGAGGGCGAAAGAGCGGGGAATGGCGCGGGGGTATCGAACCGTAAAGTAAAAGGGTGTGTAGATACGACGGAGGGGGGATCTCAGAGCCGAATCCGGCGAATGTCGATATCGCGCGCGCGAGCACGGCGGGATGATTCGACGCGAAGAGAGTGCACGCGGTGCACGCGTGTCTCTCGGAGTATATATTACACAGCTGGAAGGCACCCACTCTCTTTCTCTCTCTCTCTCTCTCTCTTTTTCTCTCTCTTCACAGCTGTCCTCCTCCGCCGTGCTCGCGGCCTCGCTCGCTCCCGCGAACGAACGGTGCTCGGTGCACATTCGTGTCGACACGCTCTTTCGCGCGAAATACAACGATAAAATGCCGCGGCGGGCGGATGCCTCGCTCTCTCTCTCTCTCTCTCGGTTACCCGACTGATAAATAAACGTCCCCGGCGCTTGTCACGCGGCGAACGACGAACTAAGTTCGCAATCTCGGAGAAAGGGAGAATTAAATCGCTCTGGGACTCTTCGTCCTCCCTCTTTTTCTTTCTTTCTTTTTCCCTGTCTCTCTCTCTCTCTCTCTCTCCCTCTCGCCGGGGCAAGAAAACTTTTCCGACTTCTTCCCGACAGCTCGTTTCAGTGACCCGCGCGCGCGTTCTTCTGGGGTACGGCCTCGGTTATATACGGGATGCTTCGTACATCTTGACCATCTGGAGCATTTCTGTCGCTCTTCCGGCGAGACGAGGAAACGTCCGAAGCGAAAGCTGCACCGCACGAGGAGACAATTGTGTGACGATTCTTTTTTTATAGCTTGCTGAAATCCATTCGATACTGGCTACAAGATCGTCCCGGCGAAAATGTACAACCCCGATCTCGAAACCCGGAATCTCGACCGTGGAATCTCCGTGGAAGAATGAGAAGACCCCCGAAAAGAGAATCGTCACAATCGCCTCCTTGAACGGTGCAATTTTTTTTCATATTTTCTCCCGTATCATCAAACACAGCAGAAATACTTCATGTGATCAAAATGTATGAAATATCGTGCATATTGCGCGTATCTTTTTTTTTTCTTTTCACAAATGAAAGTCGATCCGAAGTGGTTCGCGACCTGCGACTTTGCGGCTTCTTGCGCGACAATCGAGGAGGAGCACGTCGAGGAATGCGTTTCCAGGATAACGAGCTGCGTTCGGAGCGGGCGACGTGACGCAGGAGCGCGGCGGTAAAAATTGCGCGCGACCGCGTCGCATCGGGGAAATGAAATTCAGCCGCAGAAGCGATATACAGCCGCCTATGTACCGAGAGAAAGAGAGAGAGAGAGAGAGCGAGAGAGAGAGAGAGAGAGAGCAGGCTCTCTTCTCCGCTCTCGTACGCGGGCGACGAGCTGCGTGCGAAACCCGAACCGAGCACCGATCGGCTCGAAGGAGCGTCGACGACGATAAGGGGGAGCAAGGGAGCGGGATCTCGAGGGGCTCCCGAAGAGCAGGCGCACTTACTTTCAGTTGTATGATGGTCTGCGTCGAGATATTATGCCCTTGCTCCTGAAGTCCCTAGAAGTAGGTCAACACTACGGGTAAAAAACCAAATCGCTACAAGACAAAAACAGGGAAACGTGGGAACGCCGGGTTGCGGGGCGGGGGTTACGGTTTTACGATATCGGGGGGGGGGGGCGGGAAGCGTGGCGGGGTCTCTATGTATTTCGGGGTTTCTCGTATCTCACTGCTCTTCCGAATCCAAGGCATGCCCAGAGATATACCTAAATACTGTAACTTAAAGTAAACACCATTACCAACCAAAAACCAAAGTGAGCAGGCGCGTCGCCGACGACCGTTCGTGTCCGGAGGCACCCTTCTTCCTCTTCCTCTTCCTCTTCTTCTTCTTCTTCTTCTTCAAGGACGAACGCGCGTCGACGCGGCCTCGAGGCTCGTTCCTCAACGAGAGGACTTTTCATCGTACGTTGGCAACGTAAGAATCATCGGTCGATCGTCACGTATGCAATCGCGGACGGATTTAGTCGATTAGCGAAGTCAATTGTCAGTCGTGATCAATCAGTTGGAAATTAAACGATCATTATGAGTGGTCGCGATCGATACGACGTTAATTTCGATTACTTCAGTCGGCCGAAATTCCAATCGATCGATGCTCCAGCTAATCGGCCGAACTAATCGTCAACCACCGGGTCGATAATGAAAATTGATCAACCATCATAGTCATGGTTGTGTCGCGGATAATTTAATCGATCGCGGAAATTAATTGTCCATCAACGTGTACGATCAATCAGATGAAATCAAACGGCGCGGAAACAATCATCGCGCTGAATCACGACTTACCCCCCCCCCGTATTTCATTTTCGCCATGTCGGCCGGCCGAAATTTCCACCGACGATCAATCCACCCGATGCGCGGCGGTGAGGAAAATATCGCAATTTCTTGCGCTCGCGTCTTCCCGTCAAAATTCGAATTGCCCGATAAAAGTCACCTCGAGAGAGCCTCGAAGCCGCAGAAGAGGACAGGCAAGCGGAACAACCAGAAGAGGGTGCCGGATCCGACGATCGAGCGCCGACGTCGCGCCTCGTGTCCGTACAAAACCAACGATAGAACGTTACACCGAAAGCACCTCACGAGGCAACGACTAGCTAGAGAACGGGGGCTGGGAGGGGGAAAGGGGAGGAAGAGAGGACGAAGAAGTCCGGCCCGTCGCAACGGGAGGATGTGTGGCGACGACGCGCGGATTCCCGAGGACGCAGGAGGATCAACAGACAAGAGAGCTGGACGACAATTTGTAGGGTGGCGGGGAGGGGTGGCGCGGGGGTGAAAAGAAGAAGAGAAGAAGCGACGACGGTGATACGGTGTCGGTGGTGGTGGTGGTGACGGTGATGACAATGGCGATGATAGAGTGGCGGTGGTAGCGATGACGTAGGGGCGGCAGGAAACAGCGGGACGACGCGGGACCGTCGTGGGTGGGTGGGTCGGTAGGAGGGGGGGTGGAAAGGGAGGGACGTCCGTCCGGATCGCGGCACCGCAAGCGTGCCGCGCGTTCCGAGCAGGAGGAGGCCGGTTTACCTTGAGGGCGACGATTTCCGCGTAGCCGAGCGTCCCGCCGCGGAGCGTCGTCACCGACCTCTTTAACCCCAATCCCTGTGCATTGACCCGTAGGCGAAAAGACGATTTATTTATTTACTCTCGTGCGTCGTCTCCGTGCTAGCTGGCTGGCTGGCGGTCGATGATGCGTCGACGGGCAGCGAGCGGGCGAATGGGGGGACATGAGCGCTCTCGCGAGCTTCGCTTTCCCCGACGAGCGCGACGTGTGCGGAGGCGGAGTCGGGGCGGTGCGGGGGGCTGCGTTTCCCTTTCCTTCCCGTTGGATCTTTCCTTCTCGCCGCGTTCCTCGCCGTTCACGGACGGACGGCGGCGTCCGGTAATTTCGTCTTGACGGATGCCGCGCGTCGCTCGCGACGACGACGATGGCGAGGGTGCGACAGCTGGAGCGATCGCGCCGGTGTGCGAGTCGTGCGAGCCGCGGCATGTCGCGAAATTGCTTCCTTGCTTTTTCCTCCCGCGGGCGCGTGAGGTACCTCGCGTTTGCCTCGAACTCTTCTCGTATCTCCTTCCAAGAAATATTCACCGTCTCAACGAGGCAATAATGAAAGCCTCACGCGTCCCGCGAGAGCGCACCGAGGGTGCGACTCTGACCGATCCCCTCAGCTGCTTGCAGCGAAAACCCAAAGAAGCTGCATTAGCAACAAACGTCGCTTTGCCGTCGACTCGCAAATCCCAGCCGGACCTTCCGCCGTATTGCCGTCGACGAGTCCTCGCCGGATCCTGCCGGCGGAGCATGGGAGCCCGAAGGGCTCCCAGAGGGCCAGAGGGAAATCTCTCGAGCGATCATCCCCTCGATCATTATACGCGGCGTAACGAGCAACATTGCTGACTCCGCAGGATCGCCGATTCCGTCGCACACGTCGGCTTCTGGGCGCGCGAGTAAACGCCGCGCGGTCGATAGGCGGCGGGCGCGCGCTTGTTGCGCTGGATCGAGGGAGCAGCCTCTCCTCTCGGTTTTGTTCTGGACACGAGCGCATATGCATGCATATGCATGTGCACGGGCGAACGCGCAGCGTCGGCGTCGGCGTCGGCGTCGGCGTCCCTGAATAGAGGAGCCAGCCGGACGTCGCTCGGCTTTCGGGAGCGAAGCCGCTCCGGCCGCCGCCGCCGCCGCCGCCGACGCCGCCGCCGCCGCCGCCGCCGCTCGACCTCGACGAGAGAGGCGAGAGAGGAAGCGCGCGTCCTCCTCCCTCCCCGTCCTCCGTCGTCCGACTTGGAGAAAGAAACGACGCGATCGACGCCGAGCGCGCACAAGTGCGCTCGAGCGGGATGAAGCGCGCGCGCGGCCGGTGCTCGACCTCGATTTAACGTGCGGCGTCAAGTCAAAACCGGATCTTCGCCCGGCGCCGAAAACGAGAGCGAGTCGGGGGATTTCTCCCTTCGCGCTCCGCCCCCGCCTGCGCGCGAGGCGACGTTTAATTATCGCGGATGAGCGCGACGGCGTCGGGCCGATACGGGGCGGCCGCGCGCGGCTCTCGCTCTTTCGTCATGTACAGGGTGTCCGCAAACTCAAAAATGCGCGAGCGCGCGACGGTTTTCATTTTCTTCCTCGAGACGCGTCTTGATGGTCGTCGGATGCGGGCCGCGGCTTTCGGGCTTTGTATTGTCCAAAGTTGTGCCGTGCCACTCGGCTCCACCATTAGCCAGCCGAAACTCCTGCCTCACCCCGAGAGCAGTAAAGTTAGACAAAGATCGTATGTGCCCGCGGTATACGCGGCTTTATTAACCTCTTGACTGGCAAGCTGAATTTCGCAAAAGCACCTGAGCCGACGAAAGGTGGATTTTCAACAGTCGAGCAATGCCATTGGAAATTTTGCGGCTAGGGTTCTCCTTCGGCTCGCTGTTCACGAATGTAAAGTCGAGATTTCTCATATTTAAACTGCCGGGCTTAATTTGTGTCATTTTACTTTTTTCTTATTCTGCACTTGTACTCCGTCGCTATTGACCTGATTGCGAGAAATGTTGGCGGAAATACATAAAATTTTTGTCCAAAGTGTACAAAGTAAAATGTCAGAATGAAGAACGAATATAAAATTTATAGTGATAAGTTGTACAGATCGTGTGGAACACTCTGGTCATCTGCACTGATTTATCTGCGGGCTTTAAACTGTTATTTTTAAAATTCACCATTGAGGACAGAACGACCCGAACAAGCCCGAATTGTACATTTCGAAGCTTTTATGATGCCTTTGTCAATTTTAGATCGACTATATTACATTGGTCATCTTGAATTTCAAAGTTCGCTATCGAATAGGGGGTGACCTGAAAAACCTTTGAACGCCCAATTTCAGAAATATGGCGTTACCGAAAATATCACAAAATGCAGTATCGGCTTTCCGCCAGTCAAGGGATTAATGCCCGAACATTTATTCGAGATCGAGAATTTATTAGACCTTTATTAGACGGCTAAACGCCATCTTTGTTTTACTTACGCGTTCGTCAAGATTGTTAATCATCCGAGGAATCGGCAACGACGTTCCGAAGCAACCGCAAATTCTCGCGCGCTCGAAAATTTGACGTTCATCTCATGAGAGACATTTCAAGTTTTGGCCGTTCCGATATTGCGCACGTAATCAGCTCGAAAGTTATACAGTTCAGAGATGATCAACAAACACGATGAACGCGCAAGTAGAGACGAACGCACTTCTGGCCGGAAGTGCGCACGGCCTCTTGTCTCAAAGTTTCACGCGAATTTGTCGTCCGCAAGATAATGGCGGAATGTCCCGTCCAATCCTCGACGCTCATTCACGAGTCTCGATGACGACGGACGGATGCCGCGACTTTTCGGACACCCTGTACACACCGGCCCTGTAAGAACTCGCACAAAAGTGTCTCCGCCGCTTCGCTTCGCCTCGATCGCGCCCCGTCGGCCGACATTAATTTCTTCGCCCCCGATATCTGAAATTTCTTTAAAGGCCGGGGGTGACGGGGCTCTCGAAATCCGTGTAATTCATTCGATTAATCGCGCGTCCTTTGACGCCCGACGGCGGCGCGATCGAGAAGGCGTTAATAGCGTTCTCGCTCGAGTGCACTTTTACCACGTAAATGGGATTTGCAGCTTTACGCGCGAGATGAAAATACCGCTCCGCTTCTTTCTTCCTCTCCCTCCCGCCCTTCGCTCTCTTTCTCTCTCTCTCTCTCTCTCTCTTGCGCGCGTCCTCCTTCGGAATTTATCCCATATTCTTCTCGTCTCCCCGCGCGCGCGCACACGCACGCGGGGCTTTGCAAGATTGTTCTCTCACTCACTCACTCACTCACTCTCTCTCTCTCTCTCTCTCTCTCTCTTACTCTTTGCGAAGGGCGGCGGGGGAAGGCGTAGGGCGAGAAATGAGAGAGCGGCACGCATTTTCGCGTTACGAGTGCGCCAGCGTCGGCGGATATTGCTTGGCTACTGCCAGATAGCGTAGCTAGATACCTTCACTGCGGAAAAGACGTCGAAGCCGGGGCTGCCCAGTTCGCCCTTCTGTCCTTTGTCCCCGGGTCGGCCCTGCGAACAGACAGAGAGCACACTGTGAGTACGCGTTACGAGCGTTGGCGCTGCATTTTTCTTCTTCGCTTATCTCTCGCTTATAAAACGCGCGCGCGCGCGATGCGAACAAACGCCTGCGTGGTCGGAGCTTCGATCATTTGCTCAAGATCTGCACGAGGTCGGACGACTTTGGTTTCAGTTACAAGGTTGATAAACTAATCAAACTAATCTAGACACGTCATTCCGTCATTGGCTGATTATCAAGGTAACAAGTGATACAAAATCTATCCATTTCTCTGTCTAATAATATTGTAAGATTGATAAAATCGAGCTAATTGTCCAAAAAAGGTAATTTCGGAACAAGCGAAATCATCAAGGTTTTCGAGGATTTTATTCTTATGGCCTCAAGAGGATTTCTCTAAGATTAAGAAAAATATATCATAAACACATTATTCTTAAAGTTAGAAGGATTATATGTTATATGTAGTTAGTTTTGAAACATTAATTATGAAACATAGTTAAAAGAAAGGACATATTATTCGACTTCTTGCAATAGATTATAAACTGTATCTGACCAAATATGGGTAAAGTATCGTTGTACGTTACAGCAACACACATACCATTTTTAAAAAGCGTTCCAAAATAATAATCTGACCCATGAGCGTATGGTAATTTTTTGTTCATGTCTGGAGGTGAAGCGTGACTGAACAAAAGAAGCCGACATTCGAATCAACATATTCCTCTTCGTGCAAGAGGAAAATTAATCGGTTAAACAAGAGGAAATCCTCTTGAAATAAGAAGAAAACAGTTGGAATAATATCTAATAAATTTTAGACGAATGGCTCACTTTAATCGCTTTATCGAAAGAGGAGTCCTTTTCCTGTAAAAGGCTTCGCTCAGAATATGAAGACTATGGGAAAAATCTCTTTGCAAGCAGACTTACAAATTACTATTTTTTCGGTGATCAATCACAGGAGTCCAAGTTGACTCAAGGCCTGCACCAACCTTATAGCTAAAACCAAAGTTTCTAAAGCCGATTTCGCGACAGGCCGATCGCGTGGGATTCTCTTCGAAGTCCGCAGGCTTGCCCTGAGACTTTCGAAGCGCGCGTTTTCTCGAAACGACGCGCCGAGATCTGCCGGCGGCGGGATTGTCATAGTCGAAAAAAGTGCGGCCGCTTATTATTTCCAGCTGTAATCAAGGATCCCGCAGCAATTAGTCTCCGTTTCAGAGATAGCCCGCGTTGGCGCGAACGCAGGACGCGCTCTCCTTTCCCTCGTATAATCTCTGTTTCCAAAATCCAGTGAAACGGGCCGCTTTAGCATTTCAGCTGCTTACTTCCCCCACTACCGCCTCGTCGTCGATTACTCTCGCCGATTAACGCCCCTCCGATTTAAAGATGAGCGCGAATAGGATTTCGATATATTAATCGAGATTACCGGAAAGGAAGATCGCGAGCTTCCTCCCGACTGCGCCGCTTTTGCGATCTTTCAACGAGCTCCGTTTGGTTTTCACCGATCGAGGAGGAAATGGCTGCGCAACGTCAGCGGCCGATTCGTCCTCGACGATCATTTGGCTCCGCGAGGCGCCGCGCGGTGCTCGAGAGGATTAATGAGACGACACGACTGAACTGAACAGAAATCGCGCACTTGTTACACGCTTCGTAACATTTACCGTTTCGGGACTTTGTTACTGCGCCGTAATCGACGGCACCGTAAGCAGAACGACCGATTTAACGGTGTTGCAATCGCGAGCTCGCGCTCGCGTTCGATTGAAACGCGCGCCGCAAAAAGCTGCCGAATCACTCGGCTTCTGCTGCGCAAACGCCGGTTTAATCGCGCTCATTTGCGCTCGCTGCCTCATTGCTGCCGCGGCATCGCGCGAGTTTCTCTCTCTCTCTCTCTCTCCACCCCCCCCCCTCTCTCGTTTTCTTTCAATCGAGCGACGGCCAAGATCGCGATTTAACGCTTCATCGGGAGGAGAGACGCCGACCTGCGGCTGGCACGGCCGCGCGGATTTCCAACAAGATGAAGCGCTTTTCGCCCTCCCTCCCTCCCTCCCCCTCTCTCTCTTGCTCTCCCGCCGCCGTGCGGCACGTGACGACCTGTCCGCGGGCGCGCAAAGCCGCGATATCCCGAGGCAAATTGCAGCTCCTGCGGCGCGCGGCTATTTGCACGGAATCCGATATAAACGCCGGGATTCGTTATTCGAATCTCGGGGTGGAATCTCGGCGGCGCGCGTCGCTATTGGTCGCCGGCTGTGTACACACTCGTTTGCCACGCTCGTTTAAAGAAACGCCGGGCAAAGAGAGGAGCACGAAAGGAGTCGATCGGGGTCCTTTCTTCCCGACCACCGGCAGAACAAACACGTCGCGATATTTGCAATGCACTTATTGCTCTCCGTCTCTGTCTCTTTCCGCAGCGTCTTCCCCTCCTCGCTCGCTCGCCCTCACGGACACACATTCTTCCGCGCTCTCGTGTTTGCTCTGTCGTTTGTACCTCACCGCCACTGACCGGCCACGTCACTGTCCTACCACGTCCTAGCACATATTTTCCTGTGTATTCTGCCAGGTATCCGAGCGCGCGAAGGTATCCAGGGCGCCGCCCCCCCCCCCTCTCGTTGGTCTTTCCGCCGGCAATTTCGTCCCTTGTCGAAATTGATTGCTTAACGAGAATCTAACTGGACAGTGTCTCTCCCTTGAAACTTCCAATTTCCGTATCACAAGACAATCCGATAAGCAAGCGCGCGCGAGAGAAAAGGAGACTTCGCTGAGCGAGAGACGCGGCGAACCAAAATTAACCCTCTGCTGCATAGCGGTCCTCCCAGAGTGCCAGGCTAACATCCAAGCTTGTTTCTACGATAATTTAAATTTTTCACATATTTCTTTAGCATGTCCGGTATTGTCGGACTGCTAAAATGTTCCTCTGACATATGAACTTTTCGGAGTCATTTCAAATGAGTAATTTGTTATCAGTGAGCATGTACCGAACGAAACTGTCGTTTTCAGGGGATAACTTCGTTTACATGAAATTTCAAGCAATAACGTAATATTTCGAAATCATTATTCGGAGTTTTTTGGGGTCGCTGAATACAAATTCGATGTGAGAAATCAAAATGGTGGACCCAACATGGCGGACGGAGTTTCTAAAATTAGTCGAATTCGCGTGAAACTTGTTACTCGGGGATTTTTGAAGTCGCCGAACATACAAAGCCGATGTGAAAAATGCAAAATTCAAAATAACGGATCTCATATGGCGAACACAATTATAGAAATGAAGCAATTCAATTTGGAAATGTTAATGTCCGACCGAGCCTTGTCGTATATATCCATCATAACTTTGAATTTTCAATAACGAATTTGCAATCAGCAACCTCGAAGACCCTTAAATAACAAATTTCAAGCAAATTCGGCCGATTTTGAAAATTCCGTCCGCCACATTGGCAATCGCCCGCCATTTGCAATTTCGTATTTTTCACACCGGATTTGTACTCAGAGACCCTGAAGACCTCCCCCGAGAGACAGGCTTCACAAAATTATATTCATTAGAAAGAAACACAGTGCAACAGAGGGTTAAGAGGTCCCAGAGTGCAAACGGCATAGAAACTCAACGAGAAGTGAAAAGTCGCAAATTAGAAGTCACGAAGACAAGAGAGAAAGAAGAAAACAAACGACGTGGCCGACGTGCCGCGAGCCGTTCGAACACTCGCGGGAGATCAATGGCGAAATCAAATCACTGCGATCGTATCTCGAGGAGTGCGTTCGCGCACTTTGATTTATCGGGCCGCAGCCGAGCGAGAGAGACGGAGAGAGCCGAGAAAGCGCGAGGTGGCTGGCAATTTCACATCCTGTGCGACACGGCGGTGAATAGACAGACGCCGCTGCACCGTAAAGGCAAAGCAGCCGGCCACAAAGGGCCACGCGCGCGGCAAGGGCCTGTCACGCGAAAAGACTTTGTGTGTCGCGAGGTCCTCGCATAACCGAGAGCGAGAGAGAGAGAGAGAGAGAGAGAGGACGGGGAGGGGGGCGAGGCGAGAGCTATGCAAATACAAGGGCGCGCAACCGCGCGCGTGCGAGGATCTCGCGGCTGTCACGCGACGGATCGAGAGCGGCGGAACGGCAAATTCCGACGTGCGAGCGACGAGCGACTTTGACGCTGCTCGAGCTCCCGCGTGAACTCGCGAATAATACAAGCGACGAAGACGGCCTCGCCGACGCGCGACGAGTCATACATACGCGTTAAAGTGGTAATAAGACGCGCGCGCGTGCGACGGCCGCCGGCGAGGAATGCGCAACAGCCAATCTGCGTCGCTCCGATATTCGCCCGCGCTCGCGTCCGCCTTCGCGAGAGGACGCTTCCCGCGACCTCGCATATGCATTAACCATGTATGTTATACTATTATACATTTATGGATGACAAGTCGAGATGACGGCGAGAACGACGCGCCGCGCTATGCGCTTCGGCCGTCTTCCGCTCGCCCGGCCTCTCCTCTCCTCTCCTCTCCTTTCCTTTCCTCTCCTCTCCGTCGGTTCGCGGCGAGCGCGCAGTTTTGCGTGGAAGCAAGACGATAGCGTAATGACCGGCCAGGTGATGAATAGGTCCGAGCGCTGAGCTGGACAGGCCGCGGTTGAGGGATCACATCCCGCGGAAAATCGCGGAAGCGCGCGATTACGCGCGCGAGAACGGTTAGTGGAGAGGCTAGTGGAGCGTAAAGGTGCGTACGCACCGAACGAACGAACGAACGAACGTCGAAATGCGTGTATTTATTTTTTCATGAATCTCCTCGTGAGCGAGCCGCGTCGAAAGCGAGTCGATACGAACCGACGAATATTCGGTAGAGATGTGCGAACTATTTGAATTCGAATCCCTATGATTCGAATAGGAATCAAATATTACATATACAATAATACATTATCGTTTGCGTGAATCAGCTACAAAGCGGGCCATCTGGGCCTGTATGTTTGAACTCTTAACTTGTAATTAACTTAACTTGTAATTAATAACTTAATTATAAGTTACTTTAAATATATATTTTTTACTTTGATAAGATGATATTACAATATCAATATTCTCTTTCATGTTAACTCTTTGAGGCACGTATATGTCAGAAAATCCGAATCACATGAAAATTTGTATACGGGGGTTTCTTGGGTCGCTGATGACAAATCCATTGTCAGATTTTCGAAATTCAAGATGGCGGATGCAAGATGGCGGACGCAAAAATGAAAAATCACGATGATTTCACGGTGACAATGGATATTGTGGGATTTTTGGAGTCGCTGATTACGAATTCGTTATCAGATTTTCAAAATTCAAGATGGCGGATTCAAGATGGCGGCTACAAATATGAAAAATTGCCATAATTTCGGCGACATCGGTGATTCGTGATCAGCGACCTTGAAAGCTAACCAAAATATTCCAAATAACCAATTTCAGCTAATCATATAACAATTTTATAATCCGCCATCTTGGAAAATAAATTTTAGAATTCGAACCTCAGATTCGTAATCAGCGAACTCAAAAATTAACCAGAATATAATTTTAGCTAATTTTATGTACATTCTATGATCCGCCATCTGAAATCCGGCCATCTTGGAAAATGAATTTTAGAACGTGGACCTCAGATTCGTAATCAGCGACCTCAAAAATTAACCAGAGTACAATTTTAGCTAATTTAATAAAAATTCTATGATCCGCCCATTTTGGAAAATTAATTTTGGAATTCGGACCTCAGATTTGTAATCAGCGACCCCAAATCTTGATTTTCGGCAAAAAATTCACTTATAGTTCGTGGAAAATTATTTTTTTCCTGTAAAAATGTATTTTTCACACTTTCTTTATTTATAACAAATGAACTTATGAAAAACACTTTTCAACATTTCATGTATGTTCTTATATCATATGAGAAGCTAAAAAACGCAAAAAAACCCGACCCCTCAAGAATCCCTCAAATATGAAATATTTCATAAAAATGTGAGAATAAATAGGTGGTAAGTGTACTTACCGCTATGCCTCAAAGGGTTAAAATCTTCCATCATTATTTGCATGTTCAACAGTCATGTTAAATTTTTTAATGATTCGATTCGACTCGAATACGAATTTAGAGAATGAGATTCGATTCGACTCGACATAAAAATTCTTAATTCGCACATCTCTAATATTCGGTTTGTATTTTGCTGCGCATCTTCGACAAATTCACCGTTTGCTTTCACCGTTGCTGCTTACTCGCCGTTCTCGTTCGCTCAGTGCATACGCGCACCTTAAGTGCGCGAGCGAATCTTCGATTCAAAGTCCGATTCATCCTACGGTCTATTTTGAGCGGCGCGCGCTCGACGTGCCATGAGCCGCCTTATAAATCGGCTTTCTATCGCGAACACAAGTCGTAAGTTAAAAGCTCCGCGCGACAAACTTGGCTCCGTCGAAGTTTACCTTCCACTCGCGCTACTACCTCGGCGGTTGCTTTTTCGCGCGTCTTCCCTCCGCGACAATAGCTCTCTCCGCGCGCAATCGACTTCCAGGCGTAAGAATGTTCGAGCGCCGCGCATCTCGCGAGAGGAAGATCCAATTAGCGGCGGGGGGGACGGTTTCCCCGCCGCGGTTTCTTCGGCTGTATTCGGCACCGCGCCAGCTCGCCAGCTGGAACGTTTGTAAACAACCCGAGTGGCGTCTCCTGAAGGGCGACCTGCCAGCGACAAGTTCCCGTCGATGTCTCGCGAGATGCGCAGCCGGCGCTGATTGAATGCTCGCGACGCTTCCCTTCTGACGAGTCGCAGCGCGGGAAAATCGGTCTCTCGAGGATCACCGCGGGACGAATATTTAATAGGAGACGCGCCTCGCGGGACGAACGCTTGAGGGAGAGATTAGAAGCGACTTTTGCGACGCAAACGAAAATAAGTCCGGGATAAATGGGCATAGGGGTGGATGGTTAATTGCCATAATTTTGTTAATACATGCATGTATGAATATTTTTAACATTTCGTCACTCATTGGCGTCCCGTGAATTTTTTTTTTTTTTTTTTTTTCATAAAAATTCTTCCGTACCTTAAACATTATTCTCTGCTGAGTGTGTTAATATATCGTTGATCATTTGTCAGATATAATAATAATACAGATATGTTATTTCCAATTAAAAAAAAACTATGCCCATCTATCGCGGACTTACCCTATGCGTGAGTGCCAAAGTGCAAGAACAAACTTCACAAACGCACGGCGACATAGTTCAGATTTTCCTCGCGACTGTTGCTTATCTGTCAATTATCGATCAATTAGTGTTAAGCGACGACCGTGATGTACGAATATTTCAATCGCGCCCCATCGAGAACATCAAACGTCGCTACTTCTCGATTGATTGGTGCGCCGCGACTTTTGTCGCACAAACTGCTCTCATCTCTCCCCCTCTTTGACAAAAATTAACAATCTACGCTCCGCTCCGGATATTTTCACGTCGCTGAATTCTCGCCCGGAGAGTTCTCTCTCCCGGCACGGAACTCGCGATCGGAGCGAAAGAGATCGAGCCGTCGAGCCGCGAGATCACGAATTTCATAACATTCGTCGCGCGTCGCGTTCGGATCGGTGGAATATTTATTTATATGACGATGTATATCTCGCTCGCTCGGATGTGTATCGCTCGCTCCCCAATTTTCGCGTTATCAAAGCGAGAAACGGTTTTTTCACGATTAGCCGCGATTTTTGCAGCAAGCATTGCGGAGCCGGCCGAAAACGCCCCCCTCCCCCTGCCTGGCGCGCCCGGTGGCGTTCCATTTGATTCGAGCTTCGATATGTTTTCACGTCGCTCGCATTTGGAGCCGCGCCCGTCAAAATCCGCGCGCGCGCGCGTCTGCTGGCGGAACCGTGGGACGATACCAGTTGTGCGTATCGCCCGTATGATTGATCATTCCGCGTTTTTACGGCTCATTCGTTCAGCATGTCAGCTATTGCGAACAAGAGCGGCGGGAAAAGGAATTCCGGCCGAATCGCGGAGCTCGTCAGAGCTCGAAGCGTGCGCCCGGCTCTCTCTCTCTCTCTCTCTCTCTCTCTCTCTCTCTCTCTCTCTCTCTCTCTCTCTCTCTCTCTCTCTGTCTCTCTCTCTGTCTTCCTTTCTTCCTCCGTGGCCATGTCATCGCGGACATAATCGCGGCGACAGCGCAGCGGAATCCCGAAATATCAATTAGACGTGTTACAATTCCGATCCCTGGTGATGAAATACGACGCGAAGTACGCCCGGCAGTTCCGCGCTTTCAGGAGCGGCTGCGTCTGACGGGAACCCGATATCAAAATTTCCCCTCCCCTCTTACGTTTCATTAACTTTACATCTGTCATTCCGAGCGGCTCCGCTCGGGTGTTCTCGGTCGGCGTCTTCCCCGAAGTCGCCGCTCGCGTCGCTTGCGACTATATCCCGCGGAAGTTTGCGCCGCTTGTTTAATTAAATTGGCCGAGCAGGTGAGTGATTTCAATAAAATACCGACCTCTTTCTCCCGCCCCCTTTCTCTCTCTCTCTCTCTCTCTCTCTCTCTCTCTCTCTCTCTCTCTCTCTCTCTCTCTCTCTCTCTCCCTCTCCCTCTCTCGCTCTCTCTCTCTCTCTTTCTCTCTCTCGCTGTCTTTCGTGTATGAGAATAATGCGGCAGACGGATGCTCCCGAAATGTCTTGGGCGACCTCTTTCTGACATCCGCGCGAAACTGGGACGGAAAATCGAGATAACACACCTAATTTCGTACCGTGCCAATTAAAGTGCGCGCGGACGATCGGGGACGCTATCGGGCGTCCGCTTCGACGAGAAATGAATATTTCAAAGACACCTCTCGCGCTCATCGCGGGCTGAATATTCCCCACAAGTCCCGGCCTTTTCCATCATTTCTCTCTCTCTCTCTCTCTCTCTCTCTTTCTTTCCTGTCTCAACGAGACATCTCCCCCGCGTCTGACCCCGATGAGAATATAGCTGAATGATTGAATTTCACGGCTGACGCAGCTGCAGATTTGGGTAAAACGGCGCGCTCTCTCCCTCTCTCTCTCTCTCTCTCTCTCTCTTTCTTGCTCCCGCCGCTGCGAGATCGCACCGCGCGCCGTCATCAAGGATTCTCCTTCTCACGCCCATATTCATTATTCCGTTAAATAATGCGCCGAGATTATTCGCCGACACGAGTAAAACACGCTCTCGCGTCTTTACGACGTAATTAATTTGGCGCGCTCACGGCGTATCGGCGCATGCGCGACGAATTGAGAGGTAAATTATGCCCAACTTACCGGATCACCCTTGGGTCCGTCCAAGCCGATGGGTCCCTGAAAGAACACGCCAGTCAGTGTTACTCGTCGGCTCGCGCGTCGCAACGGAGCGAACGGAGAAAGGTGAAAAATGGTGCGGGCTGAGCGCGCCCTTGAAGATTTTCATTCCTTGTGTATGTAAACATGTGAACATGGGCGAGAGCGCGAATTGAGCGGGCAACAGAGTTGCGATGAGCGTCGGCTTATGTTTCCAGACACGGCAAGAGAGTGCATTCTCGCATGATTGATCGCGCCGAGGCGCGCACAACACAGCGCGCGCGCGCGGCAGCAAGCGGCCCGTTAATAGAAACTTTATCTGCCGCGCACAACACGCGAATTCGCAATCTCGCGCCCCGCCTCGACTTCCTGACGGTGCGCGGCGACGGATCCCCGGCCATTTGTCCCGCAGCCCAGCAGGGCTGTCTTTCTCAACGTCGCGCGCGTCTCATGGCGATTCATCGGACCCGGCCGATGGAAATGTCACTTTCTCACTTCGCGTCTTGGAAATTCGCGGCTGAACTTAG